ATTTTTTTCCTCAGAAATAAAGGAAGCCAGTAGATGCTTATCATACAAACCAGGCTGCAAATATCTTTGCTTGGTTTTGGTACAATTCAATTCATTCTAAGCTGAAAACAAATTGAAGAAATTCATTTTTGGTTCTTTGATGGTAGGAAGTCCAAAGGAGGATTCAGGGTTAAATTGTTTTTATTGCTCTGCTTTTTGGTGGTATTAAGGATAATGTGATAGTTATACATTTAATTTTAGGGTAGTTTTTATTTATATGTTTATTCATTGATTCCAATTCTTATGGGACTCTTGGCAGTTAACAACACTGGAACATAAAACATCCATGGTAAATTAACAATAAAACGGCCACAGTAATTAAATAATGAAGCAATAAACAACAATAAATTAATCCATAATCAATTTACAACAGCACAAACCCCCCCCCCCAAACACCAGCCTCAATCCATTAAAACCTGCTGGCGGCACTGAGCAATCAGAAAAAGCCATATAGGAGAACTCAGCCTCGAGCATCTTCTGAAACAAAATCAGGGTAGGGGCAAATCTGATTTCAACAGAGCGCCCTGTTCAAAAGAGCTGGCCCTGCTATGGAAAAGTAGCACCTTTGCGCCTCAGCCTCACTCATCTCGCAGAACTGAGGCACCATCAGTAGTCTCTCTGGGGACAACCAAGTCAGCCAGCTTAATTCTAGTTGAAGAATCCAATTCTGCAGGTGTATATTTTTAGGGGCAACTAAGTTGTTTCTATTACAAGATTTATTGTATAGGAATTGTAGACAGTCTGGTGATGGAACAGTGTACAACCTCTCTGATAAACAAATGCCCTTCTTCCCAAGCATTAAAAATTGTTAAGAAAACTCACAACCAAGTTAGCTGTTATAGTTCTGGCTCTACTCTAAAGCCCTAGCCCCTAACTTAAGACCACCCCAAGAGATCTGATTTTGAGCCCCTCTCTAAACTAGAAACAAAGAAAACCAGGGGTTTGCTTCAGATCCAGTTTCTCAAGAGTATGAATGGGGGGGGCACTTATGAACTCTTTGAAGCAGCCATTTCTTCTCCTGGGATGACAAGGCCATTGCCTTTTTAGAATTGAGTTTGAATCACTGCACACCCCTAGGAAACATGAACAGTCAACTGACCTTGAACTGCCCTGGGTAGAGCTCCCGAGCCAAGGTGAAGAATGGTTCTGGGTTTTGCTAAATCAAAACAGAGACACAGAATCAATTATGCAAAGAAAGCAAATCTTAGGAGACCACAGTATTCAGCCAATGCAAGTAGCAGGCAGGTAACTCAGTGTGGTACCTTGAAGTAACCAATCTCAAAGATGGCTTCAGGATATGGTAGACTGTATTGCTGTAGATTGGCATATAGCCCCGTGCCAGGTGAGCGGAAATCGGGGATCCCCGCACCTGAGAGGCAGAAAGGCAAATGCTGAGACAGAAATGGACAGCTGGAACCAGCTGAACAGAAAACCAACTAAAGATAGATCCCCAGAGGTTTACTTATTCTCATACTACAGTGCTCTGATACAGCTTGAGCTAAAAAGCAAATACAGTACTTGGGATTTCCAGCTCCATATTCCAAACCCAGCTTACAACAAAGGGGAGAAGGAAAGTAGAGAAAAAAAGA